AACACAAAAAGCCAACTCCAGGCTAACAAAAGAAACACAGTTATGCTATTTGTAGGAAAAATAAACATAACTGGCATTAATCTTATTAAAAGAATTAAAGGCACACGCCTTTAATCCCAGCACTTGGGAGGCAGGGGCAGGAGGATTTCTGAGTTCGAGGCCAGCCTGGTCTACAGAGTGAGTTCCAGGACAGCCAGGGCTACACAGAGAAACACAGAGAAAATTATTCAAATCGCATGCAGAGTGATTTAATCATTTTATCAACAACTATGTAATTTGCTATTTCCTTTCTTAAACTTACTAGACCTGTGGTCTTTCCCATCCTAGCTCACAATGCCATTTCTGTTTCTTCAGACTGTAATACCAGTCATGCACATGTATTCTCCCTGTGGTGGTTTGGCCACCACAGACTCATGTGTCTGAATGCTTGGTTCACAGAGAGGGAGTGACTCTACCAGCAGGTGCAGCCTTACTGGATTAGATGTGGCTTTGTTGGAGGAAGCGTGTCACTGAGGAGGTGTGCTCTGAGGTCTCATGTGCTCAAGCTAGGCCTGGTGTGACAGCTTCCTTATCCTGCCTGTGAATCCAGATGTAGAACTCTCATCCCCTTTCTGCCTGCATACTGCCATGCTTCCTGCCATGATGATAATAGCCTAAACCTTTGAAACTGTAAGCCAGCGCCAAGTAAATGTTTTCTTTTTTAAGAGTTGCTGTGGTCATGGTGTCTCTTCACAGCAACAGAAGAAACCCAAGACATCCCCTCATTCTCCTGCCATCAAATCAACTGCTTCTACCTTCAGTTTATATATTGAGCCTACACGTCTCACTAACTCTATTGTTCTCTAATTTAAGACACTAGCAACCTTTACTTGGATTATTCAAACAGTCTCCTAAATGGTCTACAAATACCTTTATCTACCACATACTCACCACACAGGGAGAACAATCCTAATTATGATGTGGGTAAACTACGCCTCTGTTTAAAGACCTCCAGTGATAGCCTGGTTCCCTCAGAGTAAAAGCTTAAGTCTATAGATGTCTACCAGACTCCAGCTGCACTGACCCCATGGCTCTTCCTTAAACAAGTCACAACAAAGCCTTTGCCCTAGGACTGACACATGTACAGGGCTGCCACCTGCATCCTTTCCCCAGAAAAGATGAATTGGTCCATGAGCTAATTGGAAAACAAGACAACAACAAAATACTTGTCTTATTCAGTGATTCTATCCCATCCTAGTCAAACTGCAATGGCACTGCTACTGAAAGCTTTCTTGTTATCCCCTAGCCAGGTGTTTTTTTTTTTTCCTTTAGCACTCGGCATACCTTGATATTCCATTCTCTTGTTTTTATTTTAAGATAGGATATTATGCTATAGCCCAAGCTGGCTTAGAACTCACTTAAGAAGTTCAGGCTGGTTTCATAGTGAGTAACAAGAGTGACCATCTCAGAAATGCAGTCTCTCATACTGTGCCACAGACCTGCTGAACATGGATTTCTGTTTGATGCAGACCATGTTCTATGCCTTCCTTGCTCTCTTTCTTGGTGGTAGTTTTGACACAGTCTCACTATGTGGCCCTGATTGGCCTGGATCTTACTATACAAGTCAGATTGGCCTTGAAATCACAGATATCTGCCTGCCTCCGCCTCCAGAGTGCTGGGATTAAAGTGTGCCATGACATCTGGCTTCAAAATAACTTTCATGAAAATGTCCATATGCTGTTCAAAAAAAAAAATCTACCAAGAATATATTTATGGCTACAAAACTGTGGATAATATTAACTAGGAAATACAGCTAGTGATCATTATATTGGATAGAGGCGTCTAAAAACTACTATTACTGTTTGATTTACTGGCAACTTTGACAAGTAGGTGTAAAAGTGAATATAAGGTACCGAAATTGCTAGTAGATCATCAAAATTCTAACACTTAGCAACAAAGCACAGGAGGTGGACTTCAAAGCCCAAAACGTGAAATAAAATGAAGTCTAGGAGCTAGTATGAGAGATGTCTTTAAAACACTGATGACAGATAATGGAATGATATAATGCTTGAATAAAAAGACGGAATAGGCAGAATTACAAGCTATGGATCAGAAACAAAAGCATAACAAATAGGATAAGATCCATCAAACTAAAACTTAACAGAGTACCAACTATGATTTTCTTACATACAAGGGGGTAAGAAATGATTAAGAATAGGTAGGAATTAATTCATGAAGCTTCTCACATGCTAAAGAAGCCTAAGCTTTACTCAACAGACAGTAAGAAATCACTCCAAGTTTTTGAGCAAAAGAGTTTGCCATGGTTCACAAAAACCATTACTGAAGTACTGTGAAGATAAAGGGGGTAGGGATGAAGAAGAGAATCTGAAGTGTAACTGTAACACATTACAAAACATAACTGAGCAGACTGACTGAGAGAAGATGGAAATAACAAATGGAGGGAACTACTATGAAGGTAGGTTGTGAGGACACAGCAACTTCTAGATGAGCAACTAGAGACACTGGTGCTAGAGACTGAAAATCAAAGAGCCACAAACAGATGAAGCCTTAAAAAATAATAATGAGGGTCTCATATAATCTAGGTTCACCTTAAACTGGTTACAGCGGAGGCTGGCCTTGAACTTTTGAACCTCCTGTCTACCTCCCAATTGCTGGGTTCACAAATGTGTACTGCTCTACTCAACTGTAAACTTTTAAGAACAAATAAAGCCAGGTGTTGATGGCACATACTACGGACAGAGAGGCAGGAAGGTCACTGCAAGTAACAGGCTAGCAAGGGTTTCATAGTTGAGAGCCTGTCAAAAACAAAACAAAACAAAAACAGTCCACAAATAAGAAGCTTTAAATCAGGCCAAATGAATGAACAAATATGTATATACTTATTATTTCAAGATCCTAGGAATAACAGTTTGAATATGAGGTGTTCACCATGGGCTCATGTATCACAGGCACACATGGGCAGTACTATGGGAGGTGGTTATAGATGTAAAGGTGGAATGAAGGTTATATTTAGGTCTCAGACCCTTCTTCATTCTCTGTTTCTATCCATCATGAAAAATCTCTTCTACCACACACTCCCATACGATGATGTTTTGCCTCACTATGGCCAAGGACTATGGACTGAAATCTCTGAAACCATGACTATAAATAAATCCCTCCTCCCTTGTTTATGAGACATATGGGCACAACAAAGAATGACTAACAAAGGTATTAAAGTATATATCCACACACACATACATATATATGTACATATACATGATAAATATATAAGAAAACAAGAATGGTTATCAAAGGAAGTCAGCGTATCAAAATTTATTAAATATATAATCAGAAAAGTAGAGTTCATCTACAAAATGAAAGGTTAGTGCTTTGAAAAGACATAAGACATACACACACACATGAAGTTGTACCATGTAAAAATAATGTCACAAGTAAATAATATGAAGAATGAAGAATCCTAGCCATAATTATAATTAGTAATATTCAATAATAATAAAATCAATATTAGAGTCAACATTTAAGAGTTCCAATTGCTGGGAATGTAGCTCAATGGTACAATAATTACTTAGCAGGCACAAAGGCCTGAATTCAATGTCTAGCATTGCTCCCAGTACCACAGAAAAGCACCCTTTAGAGGAGCTCTACTAGGTCAGTGGTACTGCTTGGTAGATAAAGATACCTGTCAAGCCTGATGAGGTCATCCCTCAGTACAATCCCTGAGTATAACCCCTGGAACAAACATGGTGGAAGGAGAAAACTGCCTGGCCCAAGATTTCCTCTCACCTCCACATATGCACCATGGCAGGTATCAATCCCCACACAAGCAAATAAATCAATTTAATAAAAATTATTCTACATCCTTCACTTTATCTTCATGCTTTGTAAGCAAGTATTCTCATCAATGCATACTTTTATAAGAACTAATTTGAAAACCAAGAGGTTAGCCTGAAGGGACAGCTCAGTGGTTACAAGAGCTTGCTGTTCCTCCAGAGGACCCGAGTTCAGTTCCCAGTACACTCACTAGGTGGCTCACAATCACTTGTAATTCCAGTTCCAGGGGATTCAAAACTATCTTGTCTTCTGTAGGCACACACACAGGTAGATATTAACATTAACTCAAGATGGTAGGGAATACATAAACAGACCAATAAATTGACTATAAAAGACAGGACAATAAGACAGGTGGAAGAGAAGTTAGGAAGAGGAACAATGGAGCTGATGGTCATGAAAGACTTTCATATATGCTGCTTATAGTTTTGTGTCTCTTGTGTAATCTCTTATTAAAATTAAAGAATTGGTTTCTGAGTCACTACCTTATTAACGGTTACATCTATAAGTTATAACTATAAGGTAGTATATAAGTCATTCAAATGTAGGACAAAGTTATCACTGAAGAATATTAAAAGACTAACTACTGTGGTTTAACTGAGTATCCCCTGATAGTACAGGAGGAAGACCTGGGTTGCAAGGTAGCACAACTGTGAGACAGTGTAATCTTCTAGGAAGCCATCAGGTCAATGAGGGTATGCTTCTAAACAGAACAACGGAGCCAAGTCTTCCTCTCTGATCCTAGGTGCTTAGGAGGTTAGTGATCTGTTGTGCATGGACTCCTGCCCTGATGTGCTGCATTGTTAGAGGTCCAAAGCAACATGGTCACTTAAACCCAGAACTCTAAGCCAAAATAAATCTTTCCTCTTTGTAAGTTAATTATCTCAGATACCTCATGACACTAAGGGAAGCTGACTAACACAGACAAAACTGGATCTCAAGGCAGTTCTTGAATAGTTGACTAACTGTATGTAACACAAAAATATATTAAAATTATTAATTCGTAAGGAAGGTGATTCAAGAAGTTGAACAGTTAACACAAAGCTCTGGTGTTACAAGGACACTAAAGGACAAGTGAAGATACAGTGTACAAAGTACACACAGTGCACACAGACTATCTTAAGTGATAAAGCATTTCCTATGACTTGATTTTCTTAAATCTTTTTCCTTACCTCAGAGATGTGGCTAGATAAAACTGTAGTTCCAATTTCTCCAAACAGCTTTGATCTATGCTTCCATCTCATGAATTCCAAGACAGTATCAAAGAGATGCATATTTTCATAAATCTGCTTTAAAAACAAAAAAGACTTATTTAAGTAAAAGCTTTTATTGTCAGAATAAAATGTGTAAAAGAACACTAAAAGTTTTTCATAGGTAAAATTATTCATTTTCAAAGTAAAGTCAATGAACAGTTACTGGCCAAAGAAGAACATATAGTTAGTTCTTTGGGAAATGAGACAGTGTGATCTTCTAGATAATCAGTTACAAATAAATGCCTATGCTAAGTTAAGGTTTTAATGAACAATAACAACTAAAACCAAACAACTAAAAAACACTGAAATGTACTATTTTCTTGCAATCTTACTTTTCCCTCTCTTGTAAAACTGCCTAAAAATTTCTATTTGTTTAATATGAAGGGGATCCACATACACTAACACTGTCCTTAAGGGCCCTATTGCTTCAAGGGACAGTCAGAAAGATGCAAGGTGGCAAACATTTAACTATTTTTAATTTACTTTAAAATACACATGTTTACTTAGAGCTTGTTTTCTTCTTTGTGAGACAGGTCTCACTATGGACTCCAGGGCTGTCCTGGAAATCATAATCCTCCTGCCTAGCCTGAAAATTTAAAACAATTTCACTGAATCTTTTTTTCAATTAAAACTTCAAATAGGAAAGTACTGTTTCATATTTCAGAAGGAAACTTTCAAAAGCATTATGAATATAACCTATATCCCAATCCTTTTGTCTTCAGAGCACTCAGTATGACAGTGTGCTGAGGTAGGTATGACAGTCTTGGCAATAGTAACTAAATTCACATCACCTGGGGCAACTCAAGACCAGTCCAGCATAGCAGACTGCAGTCTTCTTTAAAGAGTCCACTCAACAGATGGAGTGCCACAGCTAAATCTTTCATTGTCCAAGAAACAAACATGACCCTGACAGCAATTAGTAACACTGTCTGCACTTAGGAGCCTTACTGGGTCTTCTCAATGCTATTGTTATCCACATAACAATAACCAGGTCCCAGCAGCTTTCAGACCTACTCTTAGAAGATCACTAAGAAATGAAGGAGGGTAAAAACAGATTTGAAGGATTGGTGGTTTTATTTTCTAATCCAAAATCTTTATAATCTTAGAAGAATTTTCCCTAAGTTGAATAAATAAATAAATAAATAACACACACACACACACACACACACACACACACACACACAGTGTTTCTACTTTAGAAATGGCACAAAGAGTTTACTCCAAAGTCATTTAGTGAGTTGGAGGGACTATGAGTCCATTCTGAACAGAAGTGAGATAATCACTGTGCTAAGTTAATTTGCATAAAAGTAAAAATAAGCCACTGATGTACCTTTAATAACCATTGCTTATTACAACACTAATTATTATAATATTGTTTCCACAGCTAAAAAAAGGTTTGAGCTTTAGGCTAAACTTAAAATTAATTTTTTAAAAGAGAAACACATTATCCACTCCCAATCCAACTATACCATAATTCAAAAATCCAAATTATCTAGTCTCCTGTTGTACTCTCATAGGTGAATAACAGAAAAATAATTTCAGAAACAAAATTTTAAAAAGTTAATCTTGGAGGTTGGTGATAGCTGACAGTTAAGAGCACTGACTGCTCTTCTAGAACCTGGGTTCAGTTCCTAGCACCCACATGGTGGTTCACAACCATCTGTAACTCCAGTTCCAGGGGATTTGACCTCTCTTTTGACCTCGGGTACCATGAATTCACTAAAATAAATCTTAAAACACACATACACACACACCCCTAATCTTAAAGCCTACTGAGAAAATCTTTCTGTACCTCAGAAGTAAACAAAAGACAAATGAAATAAAAAGATCTGCTTCACCATACAGGTCTACAGATCATTTTTTACATACTAGAAATCCAAAAAATACAGTACAAGGACCTCTATAAATACATACAAGCATAGATATAGGATTTATATAAGCAAAATGGTCCAAATCACTTAACTTACTAGGTCACTGTTAGCACTGTAATTGTGTGTTCACAAGTTTTTGGCTTGTTTTTTCTTTTCATCTTTTTTATAACTTTTTATTGACTAAGAATTTCATATCCTGCATCTCCCCATCCTCTCATATCCACCCTTACAAACCCCACCCCCAATAAAAAGACACACAAACAAAACAACCTGGAGACTGAAGTGTGTCAGTGTGTCCTACAATATACCCCTCTGACCACACAACCTCACTTGCAAATATTCATGAGTTCACGTTTAACCTTGTGTTCAAGAAGGGATCTTATAAAAAGTCAAACACTGGGATTGGTAAGATGTCTCAGCAAGTAAAGGTGCCTGCTGCCAAGCCTAGAAGCCTGAGTTCAATCCCCAGAACCCACATATCAGAAAGAGAAAACTGACTCCTTCAAGTTTCCCTCTGACCTCCACACTTGTACCATGGCACATGTCTATGCACAAACAAACAAAAACATACAAAAAATGAGCCGAAATGTAAAAACAAGAAGATAAACACCAAGTAGGTGTAAATTTTTTTCACCAAAGATCTTGGGCTAAAATTTTCAAGCATGTTAATTTAAGATAGAGAAGCTTAAAGTAATTTTAAGTTTCTGCCTAGATGGATTTATGCTGTATCGTATAAAACAAACCTTAATATAAGAATTACTAAGTAACATTTAGACACCCTATCCATACTGGTGTTTATTCTTGGTGGTTTCTGTATGGTTAATGGATTTCCCCTGTCTTATTTTTGTGGTACTGGGAATTGAATCCAGGACCTGACACATGCTTAGCAAATACTCTTCTTATTACTATTATAGACACACCTAGGTACTAGTGGTGGTTAAACTACCTTGATAACTTAAGATTTAAAGCACTTACTTTACAAGAGGTCTTTTTAAGAAGGGAAAGAACAAGATACAAACTTGGAGAATACATTTACAAAGTACACAAGTAAAAAAAGACTCATCAAGAATATATGAAGCCACATCAAAGCTCAACAACAGGGGTGGGAATATAGTTCAGCAGTAGAGTGTTTGATAGAACCAACATGGCTCTAGATTCAATATCCAGCACTGGAAAAACGAACCAAATTCAACAGTGGAAAGACAAAAATTCAATAAGAAAACAGTTTTTATAAGTGACAAAATTTTTACTAAGAGGCCATTATGAATGGCAAATAAACACAGAGAAGACTACTAGTTACTAAGAAATACAAATTAAGCTTGATAGATATCACTACATACCTATAAGGACAGATAAATTTAAACACAGTGGCTAAGTACTGGCAAAAATGTGAAGAAAATGGATTTTCTCAAATATAGTTGATGAGCACGCAAAATAGCACCTCCACTTTGGAAAAGAACGTGGCAAGTTTTTTCATTTAATTTATTTTACATGCATGAATGTTTTGCTTGCATGTATGCACCATGTACATGCCTGATGTATATAAAGGCTAAGAGAGAGTGTTGAATACCCTTAGAACTGGAGTTACAGTGGTGAGCTGGGACTTGAACTTTGGTCCTCTACCAGAGCAACAAGTGTTCTTAAACACTCCTTCACCCCAACTCCAGCTGTCTCACCAGCTTAGCAATTTCTTTTAAAAACTAAATTTACACATCAATCAGGCCACCATGGTACATTCCTATATTTCTAGTAATCAGAAAGCTATGGTAAGAGGATGATGTGTTCTAGATCAGTCTAGACTACAGAGGAAGAGCCTGTCTCTCCCATCCAAGGTTTCCTGAAAACACTCTAACACCCAACCCACCAAATGTAATCCTAAACACTGACAAAGGTTCTCTGCTTGATCAAGTTTTCTAAATTTTCTTCCAAGCAGACTTTTTTGCTTTCGCATCCAAGATCCAGTCTTCTTAGTCATTTTCCATTCATAAACCCTCATACCCTGATGACTTGCTCTAGATACCCACTAGGCCCATGTTGTATTTGGAGATAAATTCAATCCCTCATTCCTATTGTAAAACAAGACTCTGAAGCAGTGATGTTGCAACAACGGTCCTTACAGTCTTCTCTGGGAGATTAGAGGCATGGTTCTGCAGTTAAGAGTGCTCACATTTTCCCAGAAGACCAGAGCTTGGATTGCAACATCTATATCAGGGAGCTCACAACCATCTCTAATTCCAGCTCTGGGGGAACCCACACTCTCTTCCATCCTCTATGGGCACTGCATACACATGCAATACCTTCACACAGACATATAAAGATAAATTTTTTGAGACAAGGTCTTACTATGCTGGAACTTACGATGTAGACCAGGATGGCCTCGAATACACCAAGTTCCACTTGCTCCTTCCTGCCTCTTACATGCTCGGATTAAATGTGTACACTACTACACCCAGCTTTTTTTTTTTTTTTTTTTTTATTACAAAGAAAATTTTCAAGGGAACTTCAGTGCTGCAACTGCTTCTGCTTTCTAGTGGAATAAGGAGCCTTTGTAGCCCAAGACTAAAGAAACATGCAGCAACTCCTGTGCCAGCTTTGAGTCTGCTGTCTTCACTAAGGCCAGCTCCTTGCCCTTCTGCTTTCCACCTCCTGTAGCTACTCCTGATGAATGCCAGCTGCTCTAGGGGAGACCTGCAGCAGAGCCAGTCCCACAAAACCACCTCTCTGCTTCAATTTATCCTAAAACCTTAATTTTTCCTATATAAACTAACATACTTGATAATCGTCTTTCCTTTCCAATTAAACAGAACCAGTAGAGAATATATACTATCCTTTTTTTTTCTGTAAAGAGTTTAAGAAATTATTAATGGTATTTATTATTAGCTAATATGCAAAAAAGCACCATCGAACAAGATTCTTTGAATAGAGCCATACAAAACAGTAAAATTTCTTTTTTTTTTTTTTTTTTTTGGTTTTTCGAGACAGGGTTTCTCTGTGTAGCCCGGGCTGTCCTGGAACTCACTCTGTAGACCAGGCTGGCCTCGAACTCAGAAATCCTCCTGCCTCTGCCTCCCAAGTGCTGGGATTAAAGGCGTGCGCCACCACCGCCCGGCAACAGTAAAATTTCTATTATCAAAAATCACTAGAAAGTAATTCTAGACTACT